AGGCTACCAGAGGTTTGAACCAAATTTTTTTGTTCATTTAAATTGTCAAATTATTTTTGGAGAACCTTGCAGTAGGCCTTCACTACCGCTGTTTGTAAATGCTAAATTCCTTCAATCATAGAAAAGTGTATAGTCCGTGGTACATACCTCTTTTTATCAAATTATTATAACATCCGCCTCGGTTACGATGAGATAAAGTTATTTACGAAGTTTCAGGCGATGTTAATTTGATAAAAAGGGGTTTTTACCACGCACTAATAAGTCATACTTTCATTGTTAATTTAAATTGTATACTTAATAATCTATAATTGAAATAGAACTAAGATATGATTCATCGCCGTTTTAATTCCTATATAAATGATCTTCCGAAATCCATCCACCACTGTACACACCATTTATAAGCTGATGACTCCCAAATCTACTTATCTTTCCACCATTCTGAGCTATTAGTCACGTTCGCCAATATTCAGGCAGACCTAGATAGGATCAGTGCCTGGGCAAGTCTGAATAATAAAGCTAAACGCGGTGAAAACTCAGGCTATTATTATAGGTTCCTGTTCTCTTCTTAAATCCATCTCCTTCCTTCCTCTTATAGTCACCAACGACCATCACATCACATTCAGCTCCTCCGTTAAAACCTAGGAATCACCATTGACGAAAATAATTCTTGGAAACTCCATATTGCCCTCATGCGGAAGCATCCCGATGGTACCCGAGGATAGATTGAACAGCCTTATGAATTCCTGCTTAAGATTTGTCTTAGATACGTCAAGGTGGTCTCATACCGTTCGTCGTTATTAACTGATAGGATACATAAGTCATCGGCGTACGTGGTGATGACAGGATTGGGATGGGTTGAGATGTAAGCTGTATAAACTGTATAAAGAATAGGACCTAGGATAGTACCTTGAGGAACGCATGCAGACTGGCAAAAGAGGAATGTATAAACATTGTTGTGATTTACTTTGAAGTATTTATTAGTAAGACAGGAACGGATAATGAGGAAGTATGTAAATGGTAGGAATTTTCGGAGTTTGTAGAGCAGTCCCGGGTGTCAAATTCTATCAAAAGCTTGTTCAACGTCGAGAAAGACTATTGGACAGTCCGTTCCGTACTCCAATGCAGAGGAGACTATGTCTACCACACGATGACACACGATTCGGGCTGAAGCCAATATATAATCGTTCTCAAGAAACATGATGTTCTTCATCTCTTTTCCAAAAGCCGTAACCTGTTTCACTTGCAACTTTTCCTTTTCCGAGAAGATTAGAAAATTAGGATGATTGCAGCGCAGAAACTTTTACAAGTGGAAAATTTCTTAAAGCAAACGACAACTTCCTTCTTCTCTACCCCCCCAAAAAAATGGTAAATTTTATAGAAAAAAATATTAATAACTATTTCTTAAAGTATTATTGTTCGTTTAATTACATTTAATAGGATTTCAAGAATCACTCAAACACCATGTCATATAGGTAGTTAGTTTCTTTATTTTTTTTTCAAATTAGTTTTCGTTTTATATGTATATATATATATATATATATATATATATATGAAAACAAAGGCTTTTAGGCTGAAGCCGCCCCCCAAAAAAAAAATTAAATCCAGGATCCGCTTGTGGCAAGAGCTAAAGATGTCGAGAGAAGTCTTGGCTAAATTAATTAAAATGGTAGATCGAACCATATTTTTAACATTAAATATAACCTTTAAGTATTCTCATTTGCAGTTTAGAATAAATATATAATCGTTCTCAAGAAACATGATCTTCTTCATCTCTTTTCCAAAAGCCGTAACCTGTTTCACTTGCAACTTTTCCCTTCCCGAGAAGAATAGAAAATTAGGATGATTGCAGCGCAGAAACTTTTCCAAGTGGAAAATTTCTTAAAGCAAACGACAACTTCCTTCTTCTGAAAACTGTTGCAATGTTATTTGATACGAGGCCACTGTATCCATTATTAGTCAAGAAGCTAATAGCTCTTGTGGCTACCATAATGATTATATTTAATAAAAGTAATTGAAATTAATCGTGCTAATGTTAATAATGATTTCATCGATTTATGGATATCTTTCTACTAATAATACTGTCTTTAATACAAGACAAAAGTAGCATAGAATAAAATATAATATTGATATAATTGTAAAGAATATAATAGCAGTGAATGAAGTGCGGTAGACAATGACCTATTGTAAGGCTAGCTATATTCCTTCCATGGGGCTTAATTTCTGTATACAACATATTTAAATATATTTATATAAATTAATTTAATTAAATTAATGTATTAATGATTTTTTCGAAACGTGTTGAGATTAATACTTAAAACAGTAAAAATTGTTTTCTTAGTTTGCTGTATAGAAATGATGAAGCTATAACATTTTCAATCACAAGGTTTTTTAAATTCCGTTAATTCTACACGTACCTTTGAGGTTGATATTGTCCCAGGAAGATTTTCTTTATTTCAGAATCGATCAGCATTACAAATTTATAGTAGCGTAGGATATACCAATTTGAATACATCAATTGATGCAAGATGCAAGGTAGATGCAAGATGCAAGATATTGCAACAATATTTTTAACTTATAGCTTAATTTGTAAGGAAAAGTAAAAAAAAAAAAAATGAAATGATCCAATATTATGAGTTGACGACGGTTACTAACATTATTTAATTCCAGTGCAATATTACACTTATTGTTCATGAAACTTGACAATATTCTAATAATCGGTTGGCCTTAGATTAAGGCTGGCTTAAGGTCATACTTAAAATCTTAATAACAAGAGCTGACTGCTGGTTTGAGAGGTCAATGCAGTGGCATTGGCATACTGACATGAATGTCGAGTGCATTGATTAATTATTATTCAAAATGATCAATTTATAGAATAAAACCGTTTTTTTACAAAAATTAAAACATCTATGAGAGGTAAATAATATTTCCATATAGTTTAAAAAAGGAATGGTGTAACATAATAGTTAAAAAAATATATAGAATATCCAACTGACTGCCAATAACAATATTATATAGTACTAGACCCCGTGACAAAAAAGGTGATATATTTCATACTGATGTTTATCCTTATAAATTGACTATATCCACAGGCCTGGTGAGAAAAATGTACGTCTGCCAGGATATAGATGCTGGATGGAAAATGGCTGCCATGTGAAGATACCCTATATACGTTGTAAGCGTATATATATAGAGAGAGCTTATAGATTAATAAAACTACCAACCCTTTCAATTTATAGTATTTACAGTCTTAAGACATAAAATAATAGTCAATTACCCCATACTCGTGGATTTCAAGTCGCAAAATTGAATTTACGATTCAAAAAGTTTACTTTTTTGGTTTCTTCGCTTATATCAGTGAAACTATGTGATCTATCTAGAATACTGCAATAGAAATGGATATATTATTATTTTTTCTATATTCAATAGTTTTCGTGATATCCGTCCAAGTAATTCACTAATATCGAGAAAAAAAAAAGTTTGCATCGCATTTTCATCATTATTTGACTCGCTGACTATTTCTCTTTTCATTTTACATAAAAGTCATGAAGAAGAAAGTTGTTTAATATTAAATTTTCATTAAGAATATATGTTATTTTAATATCTTACCTTCAATTATTCAAAGGCTAGAGCAGTTATAACTTGATGATTAAACTCCGAAACTACACCACTACACAAAAAACTTACTAAACCAGGAAACAAAGGGAAGACAGGGAACAGATCGCAGCAAGTATAATTAATCATTATAATTAATATATATGATATTAATATATAATTAATTAATATAATTAATCATATATGATCTATGGTACTTGTAATTGTACTATTTTAGGAAGAAGAGAGAAATAAAATTGCAGGAGCGAGAGAAGGAAGGTTCATGCGTCATCGACCTTGGAGGGGGGGGGATGGACACCCCTGGCGAAAGGTTTTGTTGATTTTTCATAACCAATCGATTTACCTCCTTCATCCTAAAATATTTTAATTGTTCATTATCTTTCCTCAGAATTTTCAATGAATATTTTTAACTAAAGGATTTTTCCATTTGAAGGCCTACAATACATTCATTTATATTCTTGTTACCTGCAGTTCTCAATTTGTTTCATTCTTATGAAACAAATTGTATACAAATAGTTCCTGTGTACTCAAAAATTATTTATTTATTTGATGTTTTGTTGCCTCTACCCTGTAGGGTCATTGGCAACGCCTTTAAATTACTCTCTGGTGTAGAGTTTTATCTCTTTTAAAAACCTTAATGGTTTTTTGACTGCACTTTCACTGTCTTGTAGATTTTGTTTTAGACTCCATGTGCCATGTTTAACATTTTCCTTTTAGGTTCAAATGAAGGGCAGTCTTGAATAATGAGCTTTACTGTCCTTTGGACATTGCTGCTCTTGCAGGTCGGAGGATCAAGTCTTCTAAGTAGGTAGGAGTGCAAGAACTCACAATGTCCAATTCGTAACCTGCGAGGGCTGTCTCTTCTTTTCGAGATGATTGGTGAGAGGTTTCCCATTTTAGACATTGGGCTTTAATTTCTTTTAATTTAGTTTCTTTTTGTTCCCATTTGTTTTGCCATATGTTCCGCACATTTTCCTTAATTATTTCTATATTAGAATGTCTCGAGGCCATCTTCTTTTCAGACGGAGAGATATCAGACCATCTTCGGAGCGTAATCAGGAATAGAAGAGGAAGCAAGGTTGGAAAAAAGATGGTTCGGAAGTTTATTATGGAAGGATAGGTATCTGGATTGAGCTAAATCGGAAACATATGGTATATTAAGGTCGTTATGGAAAACTGTTTCATAGCTTTTCTTAAATTAATTTTACAAGTTCTATGATCTTAACCTCATTGGTTTAAAGAAAGTATGGCGTATAATGATTTTTTTTTATTTATGTTCTTTACAACTGTATTAGTATAAATACATCAAGTATATGTGTACAGAGGAAGATAATCATATGAAAACGTTTGTTGAGAAACTACCCATTGATATCACTCTAATAATAAGTCTACATAAGGAGATCACGAGGCCATCTTCTTTTCAGACTCCTTGGTGGGTTATCAGGAATAGAAGAAGAAGCAAGGTTGGAAATAAGAGGCTTCGGATGGTTCAGAAGTTTATTATGGAAGGATGGGTATCTAGATTGAGCTAAATCAGAAACATATGGAACATTAAGGTCTTTATGGATTATATCATTTGTGACATAGAAAGGAGCATTGAGGATTTTACGAAGGATTTTGGATTGTAGGGATTGGATACGAGAGGAATTTGATGGTTTAGTAGAACCCCAAAGCTCGATCCCGTAAGTCCAAATAGACCTTATTATAGTAATATATGTGAGTCTTTTGTAAATAGTTGGAAGTTTAGTACGTTTGTCTATAAGTGCTGCAGTAATCGAAAACGTCGGGCGGTTTCTAGTCGTTTCAGTCTGGTATGGGGGTTCCAAGTGAATCTAAATCCATATCTAAAATTAGCATAAAATTCAGACGTGTTGAAAATGAATTTAAAGAAATGATGTAGCTTTCAGCTACAATAGGAGACATTTTATAGTGGACTATATATTCCCGTAATAATTAATTAGTGCTTATATCGGACTAATATATCCGTTTACTGTTTGCTTCAATTACAATTATAATCCCCAATTATGATATTTAGAATCTAATCATGTTTCTCTAATGACTTCATCCATTTAAATGGGTCAGGATGGTCGTCCTTCGTTGTGATTTTCATGGCTCCGATGTTAACCTACCATGAAAACTGCAGAACTAATCTTTCTGCTAACTAAAAAGTTCCGGCAAGGAAATTCTCATAATAGCTACCTACGTTTTTCCGTCTTAAAAAAGTGCTATATTAAGGTCACTCTTATTTATCAGATAAGAAAGCATCCAGTTACCTAAAAATATAACTATGTTACCATAAAAGCACCCCAAAAATTTAGATTAAAGTTAAGGAGTTACTTTACTAAGGAGTTTAAACCTTGTTCTACAGTTTAGCCTAATGTATCTATCAGTCTGGAAATAAATTATGAATAAATAGAATGAAGAACAAGGTCGGCAAAAAAGTGTAAAATATAGAAATATTTCGCTTCAAAGTTAAACTGAACTGATCATGGTATTGTAAGAGTGAAATATAACGACAGTGTATTTTATTATTACATATTTTTTTTTACTTTCATTGAATGGGGACCAGAGAGGAGTGTTCCGCTCACTCTTTTTAATGAACGAGTAATCGTGATAAATGAAAATGAATGTCAGATCAGTGAAATGATTCATGCGATTAATGTATGACTGCTACTAAATTGCAACATCTAATCCCCTTTTTACTCATAATCTTATCCAACAATATTTTCACTTGGAGGAAAAGAAATTGAAGGAAGTGAGAAAATCATCTTTCTCACAGTTATTAAACTCTTACAATAGATCCAAAGCGTGTTCAAATCTTATGTCCATATTAATTGACTAGCAATTTGGAGAATAAAAATCTAAAAATATTATCAGTTGAAGAACATAGTGCTAATGAAGTCGTTTCTCACAACTATAGCACTGAAATTGTTTAATAATAATTAAATTATTGAACATAAACTTCTATCTTTCTAAAGGAAGGAGATGGTCCGAAGTTGCGGTCATCAATAGGCTAAATAGTGGCAAAATTATTTTATTGAAAGCCAACGTTTCGACCCGACTTTGCAGGTCTCCTTAAGGGAGGTGTGTTCAGGTAGGAGTTTCACTTAGAACTGAGTTCTAACACTGAGTTTCTGAGAATACATCTCCCTGAAGGAGACTTGCAAAGTCGGGTCGAAACGTTGGCTTTTAATAAAATAGTTTTCCTACTATTTAGCCTATTTATGACCACCACCAGGACCACTAGCGGATCCAAGACTTAATTTTGGGGGGGGGGGCTTCAGCCCGAAATATATTTTTTTTCATATATATATATATCGATACTTTCATTGGAAAAACAGAAAGATTCTAACTACCTACATGGAACGGTGTTTAAGTGATTCTTGAAGTCATATTAAATGTAATGAAACGAGCAATAATACTTTAAGACTTAATTTTTTAATATTTTTTACCATAAAACATGGTTATATTTTACCATTTTGGGGGGGGCTTCAGCCCGTAAGCTCCCCTCCCCCCCCGTAAATCCGCCTGTGCCCCGGACCATCTCCTTCCTTTATAATGCAACGGTGAACTATTAAATATTCAATCTATCTTTCTAATTCAACACTGGAAAGCTGGAATTTAAAATGGCTAAAGTATGCCTCCGCCTATCAAGCAAGATGTGAGTAGAAGCGCACTACACTTCGTACAATGTAAGAATTCAAACCAAGGGTAGATTGAAACGAGGTGAGTCCAGAGGAGTGAAGGTCCTGGGAATTTACGAAAAATCTTATCTTATCGAAGATGGCCCTGGGATTGTTGATGCCGCTACAAATGTTAGAACTCTTATAGAGAGATTCCCAGCATCTTCGAGAAAAATTTGTCTATTCCAATTGTAGAATCAAAACCAATTTTTTAAAAATAAAAATTCTTTATTTGTAGCAGATATTTTCGTAAATTCTTGATTATTTCAAATATAATCAAAAACATTGAAACTTTATAAGGCGGTTTTTGGAAAGAGCTGAACTTCAAGGTCCCTTTTAGAACCAAAAAAAAAAAAAAAAAGCTGCAAATTATTTCAGAATGATTTATTATTTCCCAACAATCATACATCTAAAGTAACATTACCTTTCTAGAGAAAAATTAAAAGGAATAAAAAGTCAATTCTATTTATGTGCCTAAACATTTATTTTTTAACCATTAGTAATTTGTTAAAAAAAAAAAATAGCATTATTTCAGTAACAAATTCAAATTCCAAAACAAAGGATTTGCAGTAGAAAATAAAAACATCTACAGACCATATCTTTGCTCCTAATGGTCGGATCTTAACGATTTTTTTTTTTTTTATTGGAAATTTCTTAATAAAATTGACAAACAAGTGTATACTTTTTGAGTTATTCGGAATCTAATTTTAACATCCCCCGGTAACTTTTTTTCCAGCTTCTTTTCGTTGAAGTATGTTACATAGACAAATTTAAAGGGCATCGAGAATAAGACTTTAGATCATTAAAATCGGTACATTCGTTTAGGCGCTACAGCCTGTAGCAACGTAGGTTTTTCGGTCGCCATCTTGAAAGGAAAAGACGGATAGACATGTCGAGTAAGGAGAATCATACGCGGGTGACATCTAATTTTAAAGCTAAATCTGAAAAAATAATCGGTCTAGTAGTTTCGGATAAAATGCCCGAACGGCGGATGGCAGATGAATAAAAAAAATTTTATTCGTTTTTCGAATTCTACGTATCCTGAAACGTAAAACCTCAAATTTTGAGAAAGGGTTACTTTTTTATTCAATCACAATGGTTCATTATTGAATATAATAAACCAAAAGTCAATTGGGATTCAGTTTGGAGAGAAAAGTGGCTTATGATTCGGGTGGGTTATATTGTACTATAAAAAATTGATTATTTTTTAAAATAAAAATAGCAATCAAACAATGTACCAATCAAGTTAATTTATTTCTTTTTGAATAAAATGGAGAAAAAACTGTTTTTGATGAATTATTTTTTTTAAAGAAATCTTATGAAATACAATTTTCATTACAAAAGAAGGCCGATTTCGGAAATAAACATTTTATCACACAACTTTATTTTATTATTTAAGTTTGATTTTGAAGAAAAGAAATAATTATTCCATCGGATTATTGGGTGGTTTTACATGGAAATCGATTAGAGTACACTTTGGATATAAGCGACTCCATAATCCATAGCTGAACAGCAAAGAGAAAGGTTTTGTTAAGCTCGCTAAGCTACCCGGTACTGAATTATAGCATGGACAGATAGAAAACTAGTGGCGGAAAACGTTAAAAGTTCTGTGTGTAAATGGCCCGTCAGAAAAAAATTGCGAATGGCCAGGTTGGGCCAGAGAACAAGTCTATCGTTTGATTAGTAGATGAAAAATTCAATGGAAGCCTAAACATAAGTTGTCTGGTATTTAACTTTCTCCTCCTGTTATTTTTCGTTGGGCATTGGATTTTTAACTTGTATTACAGTACTGCTTCTTCTGGAAGTATAATGGTGACTGTGTGTGTCTCTAGGTTGTTCAAATTCTATCTGTGATATAAATTTTAGTTTTAGTGGTGCTGTTATAGCCGGACGGGGAAGCACATCAAGCAAACGTACAAGAGAGAATATTCAGGAGGACTGCCGTAAAACCTCAAGGTTAGAATCGATGACTGCTCAAACAAATACATAGCGTAGGGATTCCTCACCATTTGGTCACGTTTGTAAGCAAATTTGTTCCTCTCGATCTACTGGGTCAGCCGAGACATGAGGCTTTCGAGCTAAGTTCCGTGGACACGAGTAGGACATCGATCTCCTATGCTCTATCAGTGGTGTCCCACAGATCTATGAGCACACTATCGTTTTCCAAAGTATTCATTGTGATTTAAGAAGCTTAGTGCTGAACTCAACATATAGAACAATTTCTCTAAGCTAATCACTAAACAAAGCTCTAGGCATATCGATAAGACTTTTGATACCGGGTGTAAAATTTCCATGGGCATAGCTCACTTCAACTCCAAGCAAGAAGGACTAGCTTTTGAAGGGTCACCGGACAGATGAGACGAAAACTGATAAGATAAAATTCCATATTGATTATACAACTGTATATTGCTTACCTGCAGCAGTAAGATGTCGCGGATGCATACAGAGTTAGTCCGTGGTCTAGATTCCTTTTTATCAAATTATTAACATCCAACTGAAACTTCGTTAATAGCTTCATCTAATCGTAACCTTCAAATATTTTCTTTACGAAAATTCTTGGAACTGCGAAGTTTTTAATGTGGAGATCGCCAAACTTTCTCTATTTAATTACGGACTAAGAAAACGTAAATATCCATTTGCTTTCCACTTGGATCGTAAGATAATTTGATAAAAAAATCGACAAAAAAGTCGGCCTACAAAAATATTGGGCCGTTTATCTACACCTCCAAAATTTCAAAATAACGTGGATATATACGCCAAACGACCCAATATATTTGTACGTCACATTTTTTCTCGTTTTTGTGATCAAATTATCTTACAATTGAAGTGAAAAGCAAATGGGTGCTTACGAGATTTTAGCACCTAATGAAATAGACAAAGTTTGCCGACCTCCAGTTTGAAAACGCCCCAATTTCAAGAGTTAAATATAATAGTTGTAGGTCACGATGAAATGAAGCAATTTAGGAAGCGATTAAGGCGGATGTTAATAATTTGATGGAAAGAGGTCTGTACCACGGACATAAGATTACGACTTCAATCCGTAGATTTTTATATTGACATTATTCCCTCGTCATCTCCCCTGCCACCAAAAAATACGAATAGCCAAATAAGCGAGATAGAAAAGAGAAGAAAAAAAAAGTGTCAAAATGAAATTGATAACTGTATCATTACAAAACATACAAAAAAATCTAATTATTATAACGGATATTACGTTTTATATCTAACATCAGTAACCAGTATTATTTATAGAAAAACAAAAGAAAACCATTTCATTTGCATAAAACAATTTATGCTAAATCATTCCCTGAACCGGAACTAGAAAAATACTTAACTCCCTAAACTCATTATATTAGGAGCATAGGAAACCTATTATTTACGATTCGCTCAGTAAGTGAAGCTACAAATTATTATGTATCACGCGATCTTATTTATTAATAAATAAAAAATATAATTAAAAAACATGACTTTATAAATCGGGAAATCCTATCCACGCTATGGAAATGTACTAGCATATAAACTTAAATAGCTTGGTGAATTGTTAGGCAAACAGACGTTTATGAATATTAAACTCGTAGTTGTGTGGGGCCTTACACCTTCCAACAAAACTTATGACTCGTTCCGATGTTGACAAGCACAAGTACATCTACTTGCATGAAGGCTCCCCATTACAACACCTAGATTAAATATTCGTAGATGTCAATTTACCTAACAATCTATCTAGGTGCTTAATTTTATATGCAAATAAATTTCCGTGTGGTGGATAAGATTTACTTTTTTCTTTAGTAGGATATTTTTCTAATTATAAATAAACTTAATCAGAATAGAATTTAGAAGATGTTCTCTTCATAATGCAAAAAAAATATATATATATATTAAACGCGAATCGGTGGCTATACACACATGTGAAATAATTTCGTGCTTTTACGGTGACGAAAATTTCGTGAAAAAAATCAGATTAGAATTAGGATTAACTTTATCTAAGTTTCTTCAGGTATTTAGGGAAAGGGAAATGTCTTTGTTGCCATCCAGGGATTTAAACTTTTATGACACTATTTTAAAAAGTTCCGTTGTAACAGTTTATGTGAAACCTTTTAGGAAAAAATAACCATTTTAATAGTTTTTGTGAAACTTAAAAAAAATGTCTTTAAACTAAAGTTCTTTTTTTTTTTTTTTGTTCTTAAAACTAAAGTTACAAGGATCTTTTTCGTAATAATGTTCCAAGTTTATTGTAAAAGTTTAACTTTATTTATTCGAGTTCTTAGAAAATGTTAAATGAAAAATAGACAGTAATTGGACTTAGATTAGTGTTACAATTTGTCTTAAATAAATTAATTAAGATTCTGATGTGTCGTTAGATATAGCTATGAAAAAAAGTAATTTTTTAGATCGATTATGATTTCGATTATCGATCGATTTTAAAAGTATTTAAAATTAAAAGTTCTGAAAAAACTTAGCTTGAAAAGTTGTAAGCGAAAGGTTATAGTTCCAAAAGAACTGAAAAACAACCGATTATAAAAATTCTGACAATACCAAATCTTTTTTAAAATAAAAGTTGTTATTCGTTTCAAGCTCTGCTGCCATCCCTTCCAAGGAAAGGCAAATGAAAACAATTTTTAAGACCTGGAAATAGAATAAAAAATCAATAATATCGCTCCATCATGGATGAAAAAAAAATTTCACGAAAATGTTTTTAGTTTCGAGAAATTAACATTCTTTTCAAACTCAGTAACAAGTTATCTTCGAGAAACGATGTGTGAACTGCATGTTAGAACTGTAGAACTAATGCGATAATCTACAGTTCTAACATATACCAGTTTAATATATATATATATATATATATATATATATATATATATATATATATATATATATATATATATATATATATATATATATACAAGTAACCATAGTCATGTTATAGGGACGAGACCTATTGTGAAGACAATGACTTATCAGTTCCGACTGCTATAGATCATATTTGTATGAATTACAAACGGTTTCAAGACAAATTAGATGGACATATAAGTAAATTTATACATTATATGCCGACAACTGGGATTCCCGATATATCCTGGCGATTATTGAAAAGAAATCCTAACGCTACAATAAAATTTTGCTGAATGTCAGGAGCAGCTAATAGTAATATTTTACAGATTAAAATAAAATATTTGAATTAGAAATTATACATAGACAACCCAGACATTATAACAGTACTTACCAAATTATTTAGTGATTGCGGCACACTGAAATCATCGTAAAAAAATCACGGCATCTTTCTCAAACAAAAAAAACAAAAAAAAATCGGCACAAAATAATAGAAAATACAGATAAATGAAATAGTGACATAAAAATATAAAAATAAATTGTAATAAAAAACAATATTAATGTTTCATCATTGTTTTAATTTTTTATTTTAATATGATACATATATAGCTTATTTCAATTGTAAATATAATACACTTTACAATAATGCAAAATATATTAGTAACGGCCGGGATTTAATTTTTAAAAAATCTTTGTCCATTTAACTTGAAAGAGGTCATTCGCGAAGGGATTCGCTGCTGGCGCTAGAAGTTTTGATCTGCATCGAGGCTGAACGTTCTCCTATTGTCTAGGAGCCTGAAAGAAACTCGTATACACAAAAACGTGTGGACAAAATTTGAGGTTGGAAATAATATAACTCTTCCGAAAAAATCCAGCGGAAAACGGAAATCAATGGAAAGTAATCAAAGAATTGGCATGAGTTTATCCAGTCATCGTTTTAAAAATTGTTTAAAACGATATACCGTATTTATTTAATATTAAGAAAAAGTTTTATATTTTAAAACAACCTTCTATAGAAAACAAGATCGTCCATAAATTTTTATTATTTGTTTTTTAATCCCTTGGTGTTTTTGTTTTCGTCATATTTAACAAAACAACGTATTAAAAAAAAGTATGAGCAGCATAATTCAATCACTTAGTTCGTGTTTTGTTTTAATTTTTGTTTGAAAAAAGGTGTAAAATTAAATCTTGTCTAAAGAAATTGAATATAATTTTAAAACCAGTCAAAATGCTAAATTTATTTTACTTTTTTGATTTTTTTTCTCAGTTTAATTTATCAAAATGGTGGAGGTAGAAGAACTCGGTAACCTCAAAAGTTACATCTCTTATGCAAACTAAATTTACGTACAAAATTTCAAAACTGATTCCATTAGAAGGATCAGAAGAAAGCCTTAAAAACCGCGAAGAAATGAAGACCGCGGGAAAAAAAATATTACTTCCCTAACATTTTAACATTAACATCACAACATGTATACAAAATTTCACCCCTCTAAATCAATTTGGAGGTGCTCTGAAAATGCCGAAATGTAAATTAAAAAAAAAAAAAACGGAAAAACGGAGGTCGAATAAAAGTTAAGACTTCCAACAACCCATTTTAAATGCAAAATTTTAACTCTCATACTTAAAAGGGCTGTAGAGGTCAACCGAAAATTAAAAGCCTGGGGAAAAAAAAGTGAAAACAGAACGAAAATATCTAAATGTGGAACACGTTTATCTACAATTTATGGTATTTTCCGGCCTAAAAACAACCCTATATATGTGCAAATTAGATCAGATATATTAGAAACACTCATAATGGCGACCAAAGGGTTCTTAAAATCGTATAATTGCGCTCCCATTCTTCCATGACGTCCTTCGATATAATACAGATGTCTATTATTTTCGGAAAAAATATGACAATCAATTATTTATCATTATCATTATATCACAATTTTATAATAATTAGGACCAATTAATGACTCTAATTAACTTACATATTACACTAATTGTACGATAATGTAACTGCTAAAATTATCATGTCATGCAATTTAAATGATAAAAACGTCATAAAAATGTTTCAAGGAGATATACATCCGTAGGTTACTGAAATATGAGCTAAAAGGCTCAGAAAGTTGTTTCATAATATATTAATAAACAGTTAATATTGATAAGGCTATGTATCTCCTGAAAGAATTAAACATTTGCCAAAACATTGCCAGAAACATAATTTTAAAAATTACAATACAAGTTTGTAAAATTGCAAGTTTGCAAGCTTGCCATCAATGAAATTATCAATGAAATCCGGAATAAAATTTGAATGCTTTAACGATCTTATTAAGATTGATCCTCTTAAATTTGATACATTAGTTGTAAAATAAATGAATGAATAAGTAGTGTTATCTCCTTTCGGTTGTTTCACTTTCTTCATCGGTAACGCATTTTACAATTAATAAATAGGTTTTTAATTTTTATTCTACATTTTAATAATAAACTTTCTGAAACTGAAATTTGGAATCCGAATCTTCTTATGCAGGTCCTTTGACACCGAGCTGTAAAAAATATAAAAATGAATTTTAAAAACAGTATTCAATTTATTGCATATTTAAGGTAATTAATCTTACCTCATCTGCTACTGTGTTTATGCAGTCGTAGATTGTAACTGCATTCTCACACCGATCTTCGCCAAGTGAGGCTGAAAAATGGAAAACACAATTGGATACATGTTATATTTTTATATACCTAGTCCTGTCATAAATATTGTTACAAGGAAATATATACAGATTTCAATAGAAAAATTACTTTTTTCAAAAAGTTTATTAGAAAATAAATTGTATATCTAAAGAAAATAAAACAAAAAAGAAATTACTCAAAATGTCCCCCTTTTGCCTTGACACAATCATTTAATCTCCGTGGCCAGTCAGCAATAGCAGCATGCAGCACTTCTTGAGAAAAGCGCTCATCAACTACTCGGATAAGATATTGTTTGAGGCTTTTCAAGTTAGGGTTTGCTCTGTGGCATGCCATCCTCTAAAGTTCAGACTAAAGCCGATAATCTGGTGGATTGAGATCAGGGCTTCCTGTGGGCCAATCGGTGGCAGAAATGAATGTTCTTTTGCAGCCACTGCTAAGTTGACCTGGCCTTGTGAGCTGAAGCGGAATCCTGCTGGAAAACCCAACGACTTCCAGCAAACAAGGTATCATTTAGAGGCTTGACAATAGGTCCTGATAGTTTTTAGTAGCTGTTTTAACTCCTTTTTCACAAACATGAAGCTTTGTGGTGCCATCCAAGCAAACTCCCCACCAAACCATCACTGAGAATGGGTGATAACCTATTTCCACTCTTCCAATGACTTCCTGGGTTTCTTTAGAGCTGTGTGCTTACAGGTGTGTGTTTAAATTTAATTTAATTTAATTTAACAATTAAATTTTTCTTCAATTGTAAAAAGTTTCTCATCACTAAACAAAATCTTTAGATTAAGACCATCTTGTAACGACCAAGAAGCACTTTGTATCTATCCACTCTATTCTTTTTGTAGTGTAGTGGTTAACCTTTGTCCTGTCATTCTTCGAAATGCACCCACCATTAGATCACTTTTTATTATGCAAGACATTGATCTGACCGAGATTTCCATTGAAGTATTGAAAAATTCCGACCTACCTTTTCCAACTTTGTGTAAGGCGATCATATCTATTCGGTTTTCTTTATCATCCCACTCCTAGTTAGCTGAGCGAAAAAAAAAAACTACAAATTAATTAGGATTATTATCCTGACATGTAAAAAAAATAATCTGATAGATGTAAAGATTATCTAAATAATACCCAAGAATCTAAACAAAATTCAACTTTTGTAACAGTATTTAAGGTACAACAGGTGTACATAAATATATTTGAATATATATTAAATTTTTAGTAACTACCTTCTCCACATTTATCTGCTACTTGTTCCAGTTTCTTTAATTCACCTTCCTTTATATCTGGTATTTCTCTGACGAGACCTTTCATTCCTTCCGAGTTCATTTGTCCTTCCTCGGTCATCTGAAATTATTTCAATAGTATATGCGCGCACACCACAATGCGTTTACACAATTACACTTGAATATTTACTATAGCTTATTAAATGGTTTTTTGGGTACGGCATGAATTTGTAAATCAAAGCAATCTAATGTCAATGCTAATTTCTATACTCTAATAAAAAATACCTTGAATAAATAGGAAGTTTTTTGGAGTCTAATTAAATATTTTAAATTGGAAAAAAATTTGCTTTTACTTTTTATTTTTTAGAAATAAAAATTGTATAGTGTGCTACGATATTGGTATGTAATTTGAAACGTTTCATTGTATAGTATAAAGTTACTTCGAATGAAATTAATATATTTCTATCTTAAACATAAAATATATTTGATTATTTTCCGCAACTTTGTTGTTAAAAAAGTCTACAAGCTCGGTGAAATGCGATGGACGATGGACAAGAAACATCTAATCTACTCCCATATATGAAAAAATATGGTGGATAGTATTGTCGAATGTCGAAGATCGTTCTGGGTTAACTTGAAGTCTTGTCTTGGTGCTAAATAATTAGAAAACTGGAACAAGTCAAGGACCGTGATGATGGGTTTTCTTTCGAAAACAGATATGCTTTTTATTCGTTATTCGGATTCAAAGCAGCTTAAACCTGAAATTTTGAAGAGGGGAGAAGTTTTTTTTTTTGTCAAATACATAACGTCATTTGTACTATTTTTTGAATATTAAAAATAGTATACGCCAGGCGTATATATACCATACCGCAAGACAAAGATTCCGAGAAAAAAACCCATGCCTTAAGGACAAAACCAATAAATGAATAAGAAAGTAATACTGACAATATCTTGTATAGCAAGACATCTAATAGTAGATATATGTCAGAATTATTTTAGAATAGAAGAAAATAAAGAAAATGTCCAATATAAGAATTAGTTTTAAATATACACTTTACCACATCCATCCTGCTGAATATGCAATGGAGATAACACTGAAAAAAAATAAATAAAATTTAATTAGTTTTCTTTCATATAACATATTTTATCAGACTTTATATTATATATATATATATATATATATATATATATATATATATATATATAATATAAAGTTTGAAATTATTTAGTTAATCATTATCATTCTTATATATATATATATATATATATATATATATATATATATATATATATATATATATATATAAGAATGATAATGATTAACTAAATAATTTCAAATTGAAAAAGAGGGTTGTTCGAAAGTTTAAAAGAGTGTAAAAATGAGCTTGAAGAGACAGGTATAGTCTCTATTTCAATGAAAATTGAAGATCAATGTGAAATATATTTTCAATAATGTGGAAAAATTTACTGCGCAAGTTTTTATAATGTGTGTTATTTTTTTACGCCATAAGGACCTCAACCCAACCTAGGAAGGTCATAGACATTGTTTGTCCAGAGAGGATAGAAGAAAAAAAAATTGGTATGAAATATGTATCCCTCTGAGGAAATATTAGAAGAAATGCGAAATATAATGGAAATATTATTACACATACCTTTCCCTCTGGTGAAGATGGAGCCTGCTTCAAGGTGATTCCTTTAACTTCATCTAAAATAAATAAATACAAACAAAAAAATTGTAATTTTATCGAATTTGGTAACTTTTTTACAAAAAAAATAATTGAATTAAACTGAAATTAGTTCACAATCACCTTAAAGTTAACTATAAAGCCATGTGACCTCAAAAAAATTCCCTCATATTATCATCCCAATATTACCACATTGAGATTCCCAATGATGATTGAAATGGGACAACTGTACGTTGTATCAATGCCAAATGGGTACAATTTAAATCGAATATCATGTACAACCTATTATCTGTTGTTTTTTACAACTTAAAAACTAAGAACGAAACTTCAAATGGAATCAATACCCCGCCATTTGCAATAATAATGGAGTTGATGATCTTTATTAATGAGTCGTTATTATCTCTGACCCAAGAAATAATACTTTAGTATTAATTTAATATCATGTATAGCGATATATGACATCATATTGCAATTACTGTAAAAAAAAAAATATATATATATATATATATATATATATATATATATATATATATATACATATATATGACATCATACTGCAATTACTGTAAACAAAACAAAACAAATACTGAGTTTTAATGAAATATTGTAGTATTTTATACATTAGATTAGTAGCACTAAGAAAATTCAGAGCTTAGCACCTAATTGATATGTCTTCTGCGAGGCGTAATTCAATAAAATAAAAAACAGAAGATAATTTAAAAAACCCATAGGATATTATTGTGTATCATATGATTTTTTTTCTTTTAATTTTTTTTTTAAATTACTCGAAGACGCTGCTTTTGACTGAACACGGCAGACCTCACGGCACGGGAGGTCGATAAATATCTCTGGTAGAAGACAGCAGTGCTACCAGTACTGGCATGGAGCCGAAGATCGTAGTAGTCGGCTGGGTCCTGACAACTGCGAGGGAAAAAACCCTACAAATGACACAGAAGTCGCAGATGTGGGCCGAAAGGTGGACATAGTTCCCTGACATATTTTACGATAGTCAAGAAAAACTGGACGTGATATCCAAAACTTAAGGCGTGATGCATTACTTCCCAAAATGGGTACAAGTGGAGAAAATAATTTGGTTAGAGGTGTTTTTCTTGTGGATTCTCGCTAGACAACTGTACCTTGGAACCAAGCTATTCGGATGTCTGGATGACCTAAGCATAACCATTAACTTTTTTTTTATACTCCCTGACATAGCCATATAGAGGGAAGAACGAAGAAGAAGAAGAAAATTATTTAAACGATCAACTTATTTTACTAATTTTTATAATCATTTATTTATTTCTATAAAAAAAGTTGTTAAAAACGAAAAAACCATAAAACATTATTTATCAATCAGAACTAAACTAAAGTACTTCTGCAACAGTTTAGAACAAGATTAGCTATTTATTAAAGATATTTACAACTGTATTACAATATAAATACATCAAGTAAATGTGTACACAGGAATATAACCACATAGGAACGCTTGATGAAAAACTACCCACTGGTAGCACTCTAATAATATGTCTATATAAGGAGAAAACGCGGTCATCTTTTTTTCAGAAGCCTCGGAGGGTTATCAGGAATCGAAGAGGAAGCAAGGTTGGAAATAAGAAGGTTCGGATGGTTATGAAGTTTATTATGGAAGGATAGGTATCTGGATTGGGCCAAATCGGAAACATATGGAACATTAAGGTCTTTATGGATTATTTTATTTGTGACAAATCAAGGAGCATTGAGGATTTAAGGAAGGATTTTGGACTGTAAGAATTGATACGAGAGGAATTTGGTAGGTTAGTGGAGCCCCATAGCACAAGAAGTCCAAATAGGTCCTTATTATAATCATGTATATTAGGCTTTTGTAATTAATTGAAAGTTTAGAGCGTTTGTCTAGTAAGTGTTGGAATAAGCGGAAACGTCGAGAAGTTTCTTGTCGTTTCAGTCTTGTAAGAAAATTCCAAGTGAGACGTTTTTCCAGGTAGAGTCCTAAATATCGGATTTGTTCAACAGGGATAAGTGAGGTGTTATTAAAGGATACTGTAGGACAGGAAGTCATTGCTTTACGATGTTAGAACAAGATAAAATTTTTAAAAAAGATATAAAATGGTTGGTCTTGGGTTCAATATTTTGTTAGGAAGTGTAGTTTCTAGGGGAATGGTTCTCTACGTGGATGATTTGGCCAATCATCAAGTTTTTCTTCAATCAAATATAACCACTATATAGCGTCTGGGTACACGCACAAGGACGGTTTTCAAATCTTGTCGATCTATGGTTCATTCAACAGAAGAAATAAATTATCTGTCATTACTGGACTCGTACCCGGGCCTTGAAGGATAGGCAAAAGTACCTTCTATACAAATCTAAAGGAATAACAGTTATATAACGATGCCGGATATTCTCAGTCATATATATCCGGCAATTCTGATTCGGTCACAATTTATCATTTATCGTACTATCGACCTAAATCTATCGCTTTATACAAAAATCACAAAAACAAAAAACAACGGCAGATAAAAATCATTTCAGCCGGGCACAGGAGGGAGATAACTACATCCTGTGGTCAAGCCGCAAATGGAAGTGGCGAGTCGAAGCTGCTTTGCAAAAATAGAAGAAATGATAATAGCATCTCTCCGGCATATTTTTATCCGGCATGGAAAATAAATATTTGAAAAGTAAATAATTAGCGGTCGGGAATCGATATATTAACTATAGTAGCCTAATTAGACTCGTATTTATATGCCAGAACACTCAGACATCCTCAAAATGATACAATATAAATCCTTTTATCTTTTAGGAAGCTGTTTGTGTCCTTCCATATTCGGACACGCAGGATTCATGAGAACTTGTTTTTATGTATAGCTGGAATGATAAAATAAAATAATAGCCAGTGCCACCAATCTCCAACATCACATTCCATGTAAACAGAACAATTTTGAGACCGAATAACTTAAATGCATGCTGTATAATTCACTGTTTGCACTAAATTATTAATATCATGCATGATAATACTCGGACTAGACATATATTACTTTTTTTCCTAATACATTCGAAATTTAACCAATATCTTTGAAATGTGGTAATTTATAAAATGAATGATATATTATCAAGAAACTCTATTGAACACATAAAATTGGTGGAGCTAGAATTCATAATGACTATATTGAAGTAACAGTTTACTTAATAAGCATTATAATGACCCAAGTGAAAATATTACTTCAGTTTAATAGCTAAGTTATCTTTACTTAGTTTAAGCATCAAGTTTTATTTTTTGTTATTAAAATTGTACCTCGCCTTTCGGCAAAACTGGTTAGATAGTTGTGGCATATTCCGCATAACGCATAAATCATCGCTTCTACAAACATAAAATTTAATATTGTCTGCAATAATATTTATATATGTAAAATTCTGCCTTGCCCGTTAAGCAGATACGAGTACAGGTGTTTGCAGTAGTGGAATGGTACGTTTGAACAAGTTACAACCCAATGCTACAATCAAAACAAATGCACTTTTTACTTTCACTTACCTATATACGCAATAACGGAACGTATCTACGATCGTGAAAATTTTCGAACCTGAGTGTTCCACGGAAATACACTCTTTGAGATTTCTTGAGTTCAAATAACTAAGGTCCGCAAAATGGTCTGTGTGTCTGTGAGTCTGTGAGTATGTTATCAGTCTAGCTCAAAAACGACAATTCATACAAAAGTGAAATTGCATATTTAAGGTTTTTATTTGTTTGAGATGTTACAGCAACGTTTTTGTCAAAATCGGCTTACTGGAAGTGGCACTTCATACAATCGATTAAACATATTTTTAATTTTTTCTCAAAAACGGCTCTAACGATTTTTATTAAACTCGGTGTATGAATGAGAGGTAATTAATATCATTTAGGTATTGTCAACATTGATATCACTTTATAAATGCCTGTGTTCAACATGTATTCCTCTAAAGTATTATTAAATTGGTTTATTTTAAATAGTTAACTATTTCTCATTGATATAAATAATGAAAAACTAAATATAAGTTTTTACAGCACTTGATAATTGAATAAAGGAGAAAACAGGAAAAATACTTATTTAGCTCGAAAATGACTCCGTGGAAGCAATAATCAGAAACTATACGTGTAATATATCTTTGGAAAGCCAAAAAGTTTAGAATAAAACAACTATTTCTTCATATTTAATGAAGAAAGTCGTAGAAATTAATCGTAGAGAGTAATGAAAAAATTATAAATAATAATTTCTGAAGGCTATTATTATTTAATGGATCGTGTTTTCAAGTAAATTAAATGAAATTTACTAACTAAATGTAAACATTTAAAAGTTTTATAAAAGTATTTAAAATCCACCTTATAATGACATTATTGAAAAAACTATTTCATTGTACTTGAGTGAAATGTAAAAATATTTCATGGATTTATAAAACACATGTTTATAAGCTCAAATACATTTACTATAGTTTAATAATTCTAGATTTCATTTTATTAAACGTTTAATAACTAATAGGCGTATAATTCATAATAATTTGTAAGTTCAATATACAAATACACATTCAAAGCTCTCTAGGCATATGCGTAAATATATAGCTCAGAAAATGGAGTTATGTGGTTTACAAAAAAAGATGGAGTAACGTGGTTTTTATTGCCTACCGTCGATATAATAATAGGGTTTTTGTTATTATAATGGTCTTAATGATTTGTTAGCTATAAGCTTTAAGGTGTAGCTCCGTTAAAAATTCACTTCAAACATTTTTTAACAGCCCAAGTTTGCCAGAAACTAATTTATATTCAAAGTATAGTGGTAAGTAAAAGTTGAGTGTTGCGCCCGCCAGATTATTTTTCAAGTCCTAATCGCAGTTCTGCCATCTTTGCTTGTTCTGCCGTTTGCCGCCCTCTTCCACCTTCTCTAGCGACGCTCCTAATGGAACTCCTTTCTCTTATTCAATTTCTTTCGACTATTGTCCAAAAATAGATTCTTTGTTAATCGGTGCAGTCATTATATGTAAAATCTACTGTGTTTTCTTTTGGCCTTTATAGTGGGTTGGGGGGGCAGTATTTTTCTACCAATATACAAAGTCCTTTGTTGCAAGGGAAGTCATACGATGTTGCAAGCTGCGGTAGTTCTCTTTCTATTAAAACATAGAGTCCAGTTTCTTTCTTTAGCTTAGCTCTCATCAATAGCCAACAGCTAGAACCGCAGTCAAGGAGGGGTAAGAAGGGGATGGACACAATTAGACTTTACGAACAAAAATTGAATTAAACTCGTTTGAATTCAAAGGATAATGGTGGAGTTACGTATTTAATTGCATATCGCTGTAACCTAAATTTTGTTAGTCATGGGTATCTGCCATCAAGACCTCCGATTACTTACCATCTGTTACATTGAATGAAGACCTGCACTCCTCTAGTTGGCTTCTCAGTTCGTCTTTAACGTCTGCCTGAAATAAAAAATAAATATATTAAACTACATTGGTAAGTTAATAGACATATATGATTCATTGACTAATGGTATATAAACATTTCTCGTTATTATCATTATCACTTTGTAGTTTTAACTAATAAAAATTGGCATAAATCACTCTCTGTAACTAAGTAATTAAGTATTACATAACCAACTTAATTTTTCATTTTTATATTCCAGGTCCCATTTGTATATTGAGGTTAGTGTACCGCCATGAACACTGTATAATTACGTACGTCAACTAACAATCAGTTCCAGTCCAGAACTTGAACTCGGCAATATTCTTTTTAATCGACACAATCATTAGAGTTTATTAAGAGCTCAGCAGTTGATTCATTTTAATTTCTAAGCAAGAAAATAAAGGAAGGAAGAAAATAAAAAAGTTGCACATGGCCGTTCTGCAAAGAGAATGTATTCAATGGAAGACTTTGCCGTCACAATAATAATTGAAGTACAACAATGTTCCATAAACGATAAAATCAATTAACATTATCGATAAAATCAATAACATATATTTAGTAGACGGTCAGTAATCAATTACATTTGATCCAAATTATCATTACTTTTATTTATTTTTTCTGAATCTGCTTCGTATTTTGACTTTTTTGTCCTATATCAAAAGTTATTTTTTTTATTTTGATATTCATGAAAAAAAATCTTTGGTTTCGCAGAATTCAATGAAAAAAAAACAACTAAGTTGTGTGCTTTAGACTGCACGATAGAAGTCAAAACAGCAATAAGGCGACATTTCTCTCGCTTACAGTATGCAGGTCCGATTTTTAGCTTATTGAGATATTTTAATCCATATGTTCAACAAAACTCGTTATCATTAGGTTTTCGAACTATCTTTTTCCTTTTTTGCCTCTCTAACATGGTTTCGAGTTTAGATACAATTTTTAATAATAGTCCGATACAAAGAAGACAAAATACATCTACCTCTCTTAGAGTATAAAGGTCCGATTTTTAATATCTGAAATATTTCAATCCATATATTCAACTATCCTCGTTATCATGGGGTTTTTCACACTATTTTTTCCTTTTCGCTTTCCTGACACGGCGTCGCGTTAAGATACAATTTTTAATTATAGCTTATTACAGAGAGGATGAAATGCCGAACAATTTCTTCGCTTACAGTATGCAGGCCCGATTTTTAATTTCTGATATATTTTAAATCATACGTAAAAACATTTCAATTAGTCGACTATAGCCGACTTTACCCGAGCGTTAAAATTTCACTCCCCACAAAAAAAGTACAAAACGCGTCTAAAGAAATTTTCACTTTAATAATGACAAACATATACTTTCACATAATACTATCATTTTTTTAAATTCAATGAAAGGTTTTCCTTGTTTTTTCTGACCCTTTGAAATGATTTGAACAAAAGATTAGATACATAATTAACGACATGAGTAAATAATCTTTGTAATTTTTACTTATTATTTCGTTTTTTAGTTTATTCTATAAATATGCATATCTTAGTTCAGAAAAAATGTAACAAAAAATTTAAAGCACTAATAGATAACAAAAAAAAAAAAAAACTGTTGAGATTGGATTTTATTTCCCAAGGTTATCGTTATACAATATACTGAAGTATCA